ACTGAGGCAGTTCAGAGAGAGCCTTCAACCTCACTCAAACCAGAGGAGAGAGTGACCACGGAAACCTCAATTGATCAACCTTCTACAACACAACAGCCAGAGATCGTTACATCAGTGCGGCCAACTGAGGCTGAAACGTCAACCACAGTTAAGCCCGAAGCCATTTCAACAACACTTGAACCAGTGGAGGAGGTTAGCACTGAACTCGTTGCTTCTACCACATCAACTCCGGTGGCAGAGATCACCACGGTAACATTTGCCCCCTTGCAAAATGTGACCGACTCGTTCACTACTGCTGCAACTTCTGCTCAATCCGACGAGCTGGCTGAACCATCCACTCCATCATCGTTTATTGAGAAGCTGACGACGACGCTTAAATCTCTGATTACCACAACTCCATCGTCAATCGGAAAGGAGGATGTCACTGAGCAGCCGACCTCGACCATGTCCTCTTCAGAGGAGCAACGACCACCACAAACAACAACATCAGCCTCACTGCCATCTCAAAATGAGACAACGCCTTTGGCTGAGACTGAGACAGAGGCAACACCGACAACAGAGACACGAGTGGACTTGTCAATCAGCACTGAGAGCGGCATTTCCGCTGGTGGTGACGCCTCTTCTACAACTACTACATTCAGGCCACCTTTCTCGCCAACCATTTTTCCAGCTTTCCAGGCAGTGACCGATGGCTTTGCTACTGAGCCGCCAAGGTCGCTTCCCAGCAACATTACTGAGGGTGAAGCTATCACCACCACCACCGCCACCACTGTTAGCTCGGAAGCGGAAAAGGAAGCGGAAACCACCACCACCACCGCTCCAGGAGTCACTTCAGTCTTTGAGACAATCATCACGACGATGAGGACATTTGTCACCGCCCCCACCACACCACAGTCGCCAGTCGGTGAAGAGAAGGAGGTGGAGGAGACTTCGACAATGCTGCCTCCCGTTGACGAGACGCCCACGGTGATTAGTACAGTTCAGAATGTGACCAGTAGTCCTGAAGAAGGAGTGACAGCACTTGGCGAGCTGACCACTACTGAAAAGTCGAGCTCTTTTGAACTGCCAGAGATGACCACCTCTGAACAGCCAGAAATTACTTCTGAGAGCACAACTGACACCGCGGAGACTACGACTAAAAAGGTGCCCAAACTTCCGCCGGTTTCAGTCTCCATCACCACCACCACCACCACCTCAGAATCGACCTTGATGATTGAGACAACGACCTCGGCGTCGTCTACCAAAAGTCCAATTTCAGACGAGAACTTGGAACTTTCAACAACAGCACAGGAGCCAAAGGAGGACAAACTGGCAACTGAAAGTGGCATTCTTGAGCCAACCACCACCACCACCACAACTGAAAAGGCGGAGATTTCACCAGCTGTGACAGAGGTGGTCGCTGGAGTGACCAGTGAGCAGACTTCCACTACAGCACAACCTGATGCAATTACAGAGATTATAGCTTCCGNAACTGAAAGTGGCATTCTTGAGCCAACCACCACCACCACCACAACTGAAAAGGCGGAGATTTCACCAGCTGTGACAGAGGTGGTCGCTGGAGTGACCAGTGAGCAGACTTCCACTACAGCACAACCTGATGCAATTACAGAGATTATAGCTTCCGCAGAGCTGCCACCCTCATCCACACTTCGACCTGAAGAGAAGGCGATCACTGAGGTGGTGGTGACACCGGAGGAGGAGGAGGAGGAAACAACTACATCTGATCAGGTGGTCACTGAAAGTGTTCCATCTTCGGTTTCAACGACACCAGCACCTGCACTTGCACCTGCACCATCTACCTCATCAGAGTCGACCGAGCTGATAAGCGAGGCGGCTACGACTGAGGCAGCTAGTAAGGAGGGTGATCAGGATGAGACAACTCCCAAAATCACGCTGACTAGTACTCCACCGGTTCCGATCTCTATCACCACCACACCAGAATTGACCTTGATAAGCGAGACGACGACGGCAAAGAGTCCTGGGTTTGAAGAGGAGGAAGAGGCTGTCTCTACAACGACCACGCCAGAGTCCTCTACATCAACAGCAGCAGCGGCAGCAGCTGTTACCACTGAAGGAGTTCAGCCAGAAACCACTTCTACTGCAGTACCAGTCTCAGAAAAGGAGGCCATTTCTACGACAGAACCTTCTACATCTGAAGCAGCTGTGACCACGACAACAGTAACAGCTAAGGAGGGTGATGAGGAGGTGACCACAAAGGCTAGTGGAATTCCACCGGTTTCAGTCTCTATCACCACCACAACTCCAGAATCGACGATGATAAAGGAGACGACGACAACAACAACAAAGAGTCCAGCTTTAGTAGAGGAGGCTGCCCCCTCTTCTACGACGGCAACGCCCGAATCCTCCACATCACTCCTTGACAGCATGATCACCACTGTGAAATCGCTGTTCACGACGACTCCATCGCCAGCTGATGAAACTTTGTCCACTGTTACATCTACAGAGGAGCCTGAATCGGTCACTCATTCAGTTCTCAATGTTTCAGCTCCTGAAGAAGGCGGCTTAAAGGACAGAGTGACTGAGGTGCCGAGGACAACTCCAATGTCAATTCAGGGGGAGGAAGTGGTGGTGATGACTGAGAAAATCGATTCGGCTGCAACAACAACAGTTAAGCCTGATGACAGAGTTACTACAGCAGCAGCAGCAGCAGCTGGTACTACCTCAAAGCAGCCATCAGTCCGTCTGGATGACCAGGGCGCCGCCACCACTGAGAAGCCCGGCGGAATGGAAGGTGATGATGAGCTGGTGACCGAGACGCTGCTTAATATTCCGCCGGTTTCAGTGGCAGTCACGACCACGCCTAAATCGATGGTGATAAGCGAGACGATGACGACCACTACCACGAGCTTAATCTCAGAGCAGGAGGTTTCTTCAACTACGCCGCTAAGTCCAGAGATGAAAATCACCACCGAGGGCGTCTCGCTTCAGCCAACAACAACTGCAGAGGTTTCGGAGGAAAGTGTCACAACTGGTGAAGGAACATCGTCTGAGCTTCCAACAACCACTAGACCAGATGAAGGAGTGACAAGTGAGCTTCCAGCAGCTAAAACAGAGCCTTCAGTCACAACAGAAGGTGTGATCTCTTCTGAAACAACTGCAACAACTCCAAAAACTCCAGAGCAGGAGCAAGTGACTACTCAAGTTGCTGAACTGCCAACAACACCACAGACAGAGCTTCCAGTCACCACTGAAGGAGTTTCAGTTGTGGCAGGTGTCTCAACCACACTTAAACCTGAGGAGAGAGTTACGACTGAGGGCGTGTCAACGGAAGCTCCAACGTCAATCGTGCCAGATGAGGGAACAACAAAGAGTTCAACTGACGAGTTGCCAACAGCAAAGGCAGAGCTTCCAGCAATGACAACAGAAGGAGGAGTGTCCTCAGAGGCGACAACAACTTTGAAACCAGAGGAGCGAGTCACTGCTGAAACATCAACGACACTCAAACCAGAGGAGAGAGTGACCACTGAAGGTGTGCCTTCTGAAGCGTCGACAACACTTAAACCAGAGGATGCAGTGACAACTGAAGCTGCAGTGTCTGAACTGCCAACATCCAAAACTGAGCTACCGGTAACGATAACAGAAGGAGGAGTGTCTTCAGAAGCACCAACAACTGCTAAACCCGAGGAAAGAGTAACAACTGAGGGCATCTCATCAGAAGCTCCCACGACAGTTAGATCTGAGGAGGAGACCACAAAGGGTTCAATTGATGAGCTGCCAACAGCAACAACTGAAGGAGAAGTGTCTTCAGAGGCGGCCACAACTTTGAAGCCAGATGAGCGAGTCACTGCTGAAGCTACGTCAATCAAACCTGAGGAGAGAGTCACAACAGAGGGTGTGTCTTCTGAGACGTCTACAACTGTTAAACCCGAGGAGGGTGTGACAACTGAAGCTGCCGTGTCTGAACTGCCAACAGCAAAGGCAGAACTACCAGTGACGACAACGGAAGGAGGAGTGTCGTCTGAGGCTGCAACAGTCACACCAGAGGAGCAAGTGACCACCGAAGCGTCATCATCAGTTAGACCAGAGGAAACAGTGGCTACGACAGAGCCAGTCGTTTCTGAGCTCCCGGTTACGACTGAGGCAGTTCAGAGAGAGTCTTCGACGACACTCAAACCAGAGGAGAGAGTGACCACTGAAGGTGTAATTTCTGAAGCAGTAACGACACTCAAACCAGAGGATGCAGTAACAACAGAAACTTCAGTGTCTGAACTGCCAACAACCTCAAAGGCTGAACTTCCAGTGACAACAACTGTCAGACCAGAGGAGCGAGTGACCACTCAAGCCGCTGAACTCTCAACAACAAAGAGCGAGCTTCCAGTGACAACAGAAGCTTCGACGACTTTCAAACCTGAGGACAGAGTTACCACTGAAGGAGTGTCATCTGATGAGGGGACAACAAAGAGTTCAATTGATGAGTTGCCTGCTGCAAAGGCAGAGCTTCCAGTGACAACAACACAAGGAGAAGAGTTAACAGTTGAGGCGTCAACAACAACTTTGCCACCAGCTCTTCCAGACATGACAACAGAAGGAGAACTGGCCCCAGAGACAAAAACAACACTGAAACCAGATGAACGAGTCACTGCTGAAGAAGCAAAGACACTCAAACCAGAGGAAAGAGTAACAACTGAAAGTGTGCTTTCAGAAACTTCAACGACGTCTAGTCTTGATGAGGTGACTAAATCACTAAAACCAGTTGATGAGTTGCCAACAGCAAAGGCAGAGCTTCCAGTGACAACAACAGAAAGAGAAGTGTCAGTTGAGGCGTCAACGACTGCCAAACCAGAGGAGCAAGTCACTGCTGAAGCAACGACACTTAAACCCGAGGAGAGAGTGACCACTGAAGGTGTGACTTCTGAAGCAGTAACGACATCCAGACCAGTGGATGGTGTGACAACAGAAGCTGCCATTTCGGAACTGCCAACAGCAAAGGCAGAACTTCCAATCACAACAACGGAAGGAGAGGTGATGACAACTGAAGGAGGAGTGTCGGTTGAAACATCGACCACGCCTGAACCAGAAAAACAGATCACTACCGAACAATCAGTTAAACCCGAGGAAACTGTGACGACAACTGAGGCTTCATCTTTCGAAGGGCCCACAGCACTAAAGCCCGATGAGCGTGTCACTACTGAATCAACTGTCACCTCGGAACTCCCAACTGAAAGAGAGGTGTCTTCTGAGGCGTCTACAACTGTCAAACCTGAGGAACGAGTAACAACTGAAGGCATCTCATCTGAAGCTCCAACAACAGTCAAATCTGAAGAGAGAACAACAAAAAGTCCGATTGATGAACTGCCAACTGCAAAGGCAGAGCTTCCAATTACGACAACTGAAGAAGATGTGTCAGTTGAGACATCAACGACTGTCAGACCAGAGGAGAGAGTCATTGCTGAAGCAACCACACTCAAACCGGAGGAAAGAATGACCACTGAAGGTGTAACTTCTGAAGCGACTTCAACGACTCTAAAGCCTGAAGATGCAGTAACTACAAAGGCTTCAGTTTCAGAAATGCCAACACCAAAGGCAGAACTTCCTGTGACAACAACTGAAGGAGAAGTGTCAGTTGAAACATCGACCACGCCTGAGCCAGAGAAGCAGGTGACCACCGAGCCATCATCATCGTCAGTTAAACCCGAGGAAACGGTGACGACAACTGAGGCTGCATCCTTCGAAGGGCCCACAACACTGAAACCAGATGATGAGCGTGTCACTACAGAGTCAACTGCCACTTCTGAGCTTCCAACTGAAGGAGACGTGTCTTCTGAGGTTTCAACAACAACAGCTAGGCCAGAGGGCAAAATAGAGACCACAGAGGGGGTGCCACTTTTAGTGCCCACCACAGTCAAATCAGATGACGGTGTGATTACTGAAAAAGAACCCGAGGCTACACCAACAACAACAACACCAGAGTCAGAGGAGCGAAAGACTACTACTGCTGCTGCTGTCCCATCTGTACTATCAGTCACAACTGAAGGACCTCTTCTTGAGGCTTCAACAACACTCTCACCTGAAGAAAGAGTGACAACTGAGGCGCCAACTTCTGAACTGCCAACATCAAAGGCAGAACTTCCAGTTACCACGACGGAAGAAGGTGTGCCTCCTTCTGAAGCACCAACAACTGCCAGACCAGAAGAGCGAGTGACGGCTCAATCAGATGAACTCTCGACTGAAAAGAGCGAGCTTCCAGTGACAACTGAAAGTGCTCAAACAGAGGTTTCAACGACACTCAAACCTGAAGAAAGGGTAACGATTGAGGGCATCTCATCTGAAGCTCCAACCACAATCAAGACAACAAAGAGTTCAATTGATGAACTACCAACAGCAAAGGCAGAGTTTCCAACAACTGAAAGAGAAGTGTCAGTTGAGACTTCAACGACTGTCAGACCAGAAGAACCAGTCACTGCTGAAACATCGACAACACCTAAACCTGATGATGCAGTGACTACCGAAGCTTCTGTTTCTGAATTGCCAACATCAAAGGCAGAGCTACCGGTGACAACAACAGAGGAGTCATCTGAAGCATCAACAACTGTCAGACCAGAAGAGAGGGTGATCACGGAAACTGCTGAACTCTCAACTTCAAAGAGTGAACTTCCAGTGGTAACGGAGACTTCAACGACTTTTAAACCTGAGGACAGAGTTACGACTGAAGGAGTGTCATCTGAAGCTTCAACTACAGTTAGGTCTGATGAAGCGACAACAAAGAGTTCAAGTGACGAGTTGTCAACAACAAAGGCAGAGCTTCCAGTCACAACAACAGAAGGAGAAGTGATAACAACACCTAAACCTGAGGATAGAGTTACGACTGAAGGAGTGTCATTTGAAGTTTCAACAACGTCAACTCCTGATGAGATGAAATCACAAAAACCAGTTGATGAGTTGCCAACAGCAAAGGCAGAACTTCCAGTTATGACAACAACTGAAGGAGTTGAGCCTTCTGAAGCGGCAACAACTGTTGAACCTGTGGAAAGAGTAAC